ATAGAAGACCCTCGCGTAGTCTTCATTTTATAAGAGAATTTTGAAAAGAGTTCTGTCAATAGAAGACCGTCAAAAGGTCTTCTATCTGTAGAAGGCCTTCAGAAGGTCTTCTGTCTATGGAGGTCCTTTTAAAGGTCAAGCTAGTAATCCATTTTTATTACAACCACCACCTCCATATCTTAACCGCAGACAGCAACAGTGACCTCAACATAATATTTCGGAATTCAAGCTCTATCGCTTCACACAAATCCAAATTGTACCAAATTTAGTACACAGTACAGTACGAATTTCCAAAACTTCCTACATACCCCAATCCTACACTCTTACAGTAATCCCAATTTCAAATTTCAGGATTCCAACCCTATCGGCTCTTCCAAATAGAAATTGTATCAAATTAGCACCATGTATCTGTAGTACACATTTCCTCCTCCATATCCAAATCCTACACTCCAACACTAATCTAAATTTCAAATTTCAGGATTTCAGTTCCATTGGTTCACCCAAATTGACTACCATTTAGTACAAATAAGTACAAAATTCCATAACTCCCTACAGCATAAAATCTAAAAGGAATCTTATTCCCGCATTTAGTATTCCACCATCACAGGTTCTTCCGAAAAATAAAATTGTACCGAATTTAGTACCATTTTGTACACATATGTCAGAATTTCGAAAATTACTTACAAGTCTCAGTCCTACAATGCAATAGTAATATTATTTTATTTATTCCAAGTCTATCGATTCACTCAAATGTAAATTGTACCAAATTTAGTACCATTTTGTACTTTTCGTGCACATACAAATTTCGAAAACTACTTCAATATCCCAATCCTACACTTCGCCAGTAATGTTAATTTCAAATTGCAGGATTCCAACTTCATCCGTTCCTTCAAATTCAAATTGTACTAAATTTAGTACGAGTACTTTTCGTATACATGAGTACACACTTTCAAAACTACTTCCTTACATAGACTTTACTCCTCAACTCTGATTCCCATTCCAAATTTCAAGTTTTTAGCTCTAACCGTTCACATGATACGAAATGGTACCAAATGTAGTACATTTTAGTACTTTTCGTACTCTTATAATGCGCATTTCAAAAAACCCTTTGGAACATCTATCATACACTCCATCAGTGACCCTCATACCAATTGAGAGTTCTAGCTGTACTGCTTTCTCAAATACAAAGGGTTGCATATTTAGTACCTTTTAATACTTTTCGTACCTTTCCAGTACGAATTTCCAAAAATCCAGCTTTATCTGTTCCCTTCGGACCAAGAGTGATCCTCACCAAAAATTTCAAGATTCTAGTTTCAGCCATTTCGTTTGGCCGTTGATGAATCATTAAATCAGTCACTCAGTCAATTACTTTTCTCTTTTCTTAATAAAGAGTTGTCGTATTTTATGATGATTTTCCTCGTTTGACGTGTCCGTGCGACACTCATTACTTGGTAAGGAGGAAAGTAAGTTCTTATACTTTTTAATTTTTTTAGAAGTAACTAATTAACTTTAACCTACTTCTTGGGCAAAAGGTAGTTTCTTTTACATTACGTTTTAATGAGTTATTCGTTTTATGTAGCTTCCAATTTTTTGCTGGAGTATAAAGCTCCATAGCGCACACCATAGTCGTTGCGAACAATGCCACCAAACATTCCAAAGCCTTGAAAAGCTTATACAAATAAAATTTGTTTCTCTCAGTTACACAGAAAAAATGAAAATTCAGTTTCCCAAACAGCATATTGTGTTAGTTTTTCTCCTTTTACTATTTGAGAATTTTCTTTTTGTTGTAAAATTTACAAAAATAAAAACTTGTTACAAGCAACATTTGTTCATTTCTTTACAAAAAAAAAAAAAAAAAATGGGGGAGAAACCCGACAACAAAATTTCGTAAATTCAATCTGCATTTGTTTTTCGCTATGAAAAAATCTCATTGCGAATTTTAAACATAGCAGACATGCTTAGGATAAAATATTTTTCTTTTGGTTTTTTGTGTACTAGCTGTAACAAAGCTTACTTTGTATTTGTTATTTGAAAACAAAATATTGTTAACGCAAATTAGCCAAAGCGGCATTGCGAAGAAACGTGAATGTAGAGTTAAATGAAATATTTCAAAAATTTGCTCCACAGAAAAAGGTTTTTAGCAGATTTAAAGTTAATCGGCAGATCACATTTTATGGATTTCTGAAAGTTTTCTGTAGAAAAAAGACTATCTGGATGTCGATTGTAAATTAAAATGTTTCAAATTGATTCTTTAGATGACAGGTCTTCTTTATACCTTCTATAAATAGACGATATTTTAAAGGAAATTTTGCGTGTAGTAAGCGCTTAGAATAGGGAAGAAGCATACCAATTTGGATGGTCATCGCATAATGTTTAGAGGATGAAATTAAATGTAACTTTAGTGTGGAAAAATACCAAAAAAAAAAAACATTTCCGCGAATATTTTTTGTCCCGCCGTTATCAAAAAATTATGAAAAGGCCATTTCTGACCGTTACATTGATCCTGATTGCCAAGAAGTCGAATATACAGGGTGAGATGAAAAATAGCAACCAACTTCAGACTGCTGTCATTTCTAAGCTACTCGTCCGACAGCTGTTAAAATTATTCCAGTGACAGCTCATTATATTATTTACAAGCGCACAAAAGCATTTTGGTGAGAACTTTCCAGAAAGAAAGTTATTCGTGATGGAATTCAAGCGTGATAGTGTGATTTATTTATATTTGGCTGGAAAACCACATCACCACATGGCTATCTTTAGAGCATTCCAGCATTTAAATGTGAATAAATATTTTGTGTCTCGTACCATCGCTCGTTACTGTGATACTGGTAGCGTAGCCCGTCGTCAAGGAAGTGAACGGAAGAAAACATCAGCAACATCAGTAGAAATGATTCGAAAAGTAAAGAAGCGATTTGATCGAAACCCACGTCGCAGTGGCCGAATAATGGCTCGTGAGCTGAACATATCGCAATATTCCATTCGGCAAATATTGAAAAATGAGCTCGGGGTAAAGCCATTGAAATTCCAAAAAGTGCAAGAACTTATATCGCAACAGAAAGAAAATAGACTCAAAAGACCAAAAGAGTTGCTTCGCTTGGCCGAAAGTGGTGAACTGCCGAATTTGGTTTTCTCCGATGAGAAAACATTTGTTGTCCGCTCATATCAATCGACCGTGGCATCAGAACAAATTCCGAATATTATCGCGAAAATATTCGGGAGGGTGTATTAAAGCCTTGGGCACGAACTATGAGGTTACGAAAAGTTCTAAAATAGTACTGAATTTCTAAAATGGTACCATTTGGTATTATGTGAGCAGATAGAGCTTGAAATATGTTATCAAAATCAGGGTTGAAAAGTATGTTTGCTATATAAGAAGGTGGTTTTGCAAATATGTACTAAGTGTGCAAACTGTACTCAATGGTACTAAATTTGGAGCAGTTTGGTTTAGTGTGAACGCATGAAGCAGAAATTTTGAAATGCTGGTGCCCTTTTTATAGCAAGTATGTGGTAAAGCGGTGTTGTTTGAAAATGGGTACTACAAGTGCAAGAAAAGTACTAAATAGTATAATATTTGGTACAATTTCGGTACAATTTGGTATTGGGTGAAGAAATAGAGAAAAAAATAGAGAAAATTTCTGAAATTTGGATTTAGTTTACAAATGGTATAGGTTTTTGAGATTTGGCGGTGGTTTTAAAACCGGCCTATATTTGTACGAAAAGTACTAAATGGTACTAAATTTGGTGTTGGGTGAAAAGATAGGGCTGGAATCCTCAAATTTGATATTTAGGTCTCGGTTGGTATCTGGAATAAATTTGATATTGGGTGAAGGAATAGAGCTGAAATCCTGATATTTGATATAGATATCCTTGTTGGTACCTGTCGTTATGATATGGATGTGGAGTTGGAAGTGTGTACTATATTTGCACACAAAGTACTAAATAGTACTAAATTTGATATTGGGTGAAGGAATAGAGTTGAAATCCTGATATTTGATTGCTGGTGCCTGTCGTTATAATATAGATGTGGTTTTGGAAATGTGTACGTTAATTGTTCCAAATGGTACTAAATTTAGTAATGGACGAAATTGAAGAGCTGAAATTTCATATTAAGGTCACTGATAGTATCGATGTTTGAGATTTAACGGTGGCTTGCAAATGGGTTTTATATTTGTACGAAAAGTACTTAATGGTAATAAAATTGGTATTGGGTAAAAGGATAGTGATAAAATTCAGAAATTCGATATAGGTGTCACTGTTGGTGTCTGTGGATAAGATATGAAAGTGGTTTTGGAAATGTGTACTATAGCACTAAGTAGTCTTAAATAGGGTATTTGGTGAAGGGATATAGCTGGTATTTATAGTTAAAATGGCCTAACACGAACTGATAAAATGAATGTGAAATTTTAATATGGACTTTTTGCTGACGAAGTTGCGGGTACTTGCTAGTCAGTAATATTTCCGAAAATTTAAAATCCAAGGATGCCAAAAAATCTTGATCCAAAAAAATGGTTTGTGTCGCATCGTGGTTGACAGAAGATCTTCTATAGAAAATATTTACTAATTCTTCCATTTGAAAAATTTAATTTCATTCGGCCACGTCATGTTTCCGGTTCATTTTTTTCTACTTAACGTATTTCAAACACATGACGTTGGGAATTCCCACTATTTTTCTCCATAATAAATTTTCGTCATTGATGACAAAGCATTTTTTTCGATTTGCTGCCAATATTCTGGGATTTACATGCATATTCGTAAACCTAGACAATTTGGTCGGAAGATATTTACAATGCAATGGGATGCACTTGCAATTCGCATTCACAAATTAATTGACATGACTTTGCTAATTCTTTTTCGAAACTATTTACATTTGAAGAGAGGAGTTCCCCGCTCTAAATGTAGGTGTGTAGGATTTTGCGAACATTTTTAGAAATCTCAAAATAGTTGTAATGCAAAGGTCATTTACAGATTTGTTTCCTATAAAAGTGCAAAACAATTTCATTAGCAAAATATTATTAGAATTATTCAGCTCGGTGCAACAACGCTTTCGTGAAAAATAAGGAAGATGCGCGGATTACCTATTTTCTTATTAATTTGTGTTCTATTGGCAATAATATGCCATGCCCAGGGTCAAGATGCGGATGCTGAGGTGCCGGAAGATCAGCAGGTGCAACGTGTGAAACGTCAATTTGGTGGATTCGGTGGTGGTTATGGCGGTATCGGTGTCTATGGTGGACGTGGATTTGGAGGTTATGGTGGCCGAGGGTTTGGCGGCGGCTATGGTGGTTATGGACGCGGTTTTGGCGGTGGCAGCTATGGTAGATATCGTTATGGCGGTGGTGGCGGCTATAGACGTGGTTATGGAGGTTATGGTGGCTATGGCTTCATTTAAAGGAGTTTTTATGAATTCGAGAAGGAAATGTGAAATTATGTTGTAAATAAAAATAAATAATCGACAGATTTTTAAAGACTTAATTTATTGGGAATGATCGATAATTTTTTTTTCAATAGTTATTGTAAGAATCCAACAGAATATGGAAAAAATAACCTAAAAAGAGGGGGAGTTCCCCTTTCATCCACAATTTTGACATTTTCGGTATGTGAAAAATTCCAATTGGATTTGATAGTACTCTGTTTGTAGTTTAAAATCTAAAGGTTGTTTGCGATCTATTTCGGTTACTTCAAAATCCAATCAAAACATAGTACTTTTCATGCAATTATATTACACAAAACAAGAACCCCAATGACATCATTTAAAATTACCAGCTTCTTTCGTACACCCAATCCTCACCTCCTTTCCGAGAATGGATTATCATACTACATTTCTAGATTCGTTTACATAATTCCAAATTTTACAAATTGGTACTAGTATTTTTCATAGAAGTATTGTTAAAATTTCGTAAAACCCTTTCGCTACTCTATCCTATACAACCTCAAAGACCCTCATCCCAAATTTTATATTTCCAACTCTATTCAATCCCCAAATATCACCCGCACAAAGGGTGATCCTAGTGCCATATTTTAGACTTCCAAATCAAAACCCTTACCAAAATACAATATTAAATACCATTTAGTACGGTTTTCCAAAACCACCTCCTAATCTCAACCCTACACACTAACGGTGTTCCAAATGCCCAATTCCTGCGCCGAAAGGGAAAAGATAATCCGAATTCCAACTTTGCGAATCCTAATATTTGCATCAGTGCTAGGGCAGATGCGAAAATGGGCAATATCGGTTCACTCCATGAAGTACCTCTCCCACAAAGGGTAAAACTTTTGAATACACAAACACATAAACATAAAAATATCATCCGATTCAATTCAGATTTGACACATCTCAATATTTCCATGAATGTCGGAAATAGCATCAAATTTTAGAATAAGTTTAGATTTGTTCGAATTGATCACCTTTGGCACGAATTATGGCCTTCTAATGGCCAATGAAACCATCACACGCTGCCCGAATGTTGCTCGACGTATTTATGGCCCATTCCCGGCGAAGCGCATGCTTGAGATGATCGACACTTTGGTATTTTTTAGTGGCAACCTTGCTTTCCAAAATACTCCAGACACAATAGTCCAACAGATTGGTATCTGGAGATTTTGGTGGCCATTGTGCGCTGGAAATGAAGCGAGGAACCTCATTTTGTAACCAATCTTGAGTGGGGCGTGCTGAGTGCGATGCTGCTGAATCCTGTTGGAATATCCAAGGTCTGCGGACAAAATGTTTGCGTGCCCAAGGCTTCAATACACCCTCTAGAATATGTTCGCGATAATATTCGGCATTTATTATAATGCCTCGGTCGATTTATATGAGCAGAGAGTTACCATCGGCAGTTATGGCGGCCCACACCATCACCATGACCGGCGCTTGAGTTCTGGTGGCCAACCGAAGGTGCACATTTTTAGCTGACCTCTTTTTCAAGTAAACACGATCGAATGTTTTGTTTTGCTGGACAAAGAATGTTTTCTCATCGGAGAAAACAAAATTCGGCAGATCACCACTTTCGACCAAGCGAAGCAACTCTTTATCTCTTTTGAATCTATTTTCTTTCTGTTGCGGTGCGGTTTTTGCACTGTCTGGAATTTCAATGGCTTTACCTTGAGCTCATTTTTCAATATTTGTTAAATGGAATATTGTGATATGTTCAGCTCACGAGTTATTTTTCGGTCACTGCGACGCGGGTTTCGGTCAAGTCGCTTCCTTACTTTTCGAACCATTTCAGCTGATGTTGCTGTTTTCTTCCGTCCATTTCCTTGGCGTCGGGATACGCTACCAGTATCACGGTAACGAGCGATGGTACGATACACAAAAGATTTATTCACATTTAAATGCTGGAGTGCGCTAACGATAGCCTCTTGTGGTTCCAGCCAAATATAAAGAAATTACACTATCACGCTTAAATTCTATCACGAGTAAGTTTTTTCTGAAAATTGTTGTAAACACTATAATGAGCTGTCACTGGAATAATTTGAACAGCTGTCGGACGAGTGGCGTAGATATGACAGCAGTCTATATATATATATATATATATATATATATATATATATATATATATATATATATATATATATATATATATATTTCTTTTTTTTTTTCTATAACATCTCCATATATTTCCCTTCTAATTTGTTAATTTATATATCTTTCCCTTGTCTACACAACTTCTTTATATTCTTATAAAAATCCAAATAACATACAAACCATTATCAAAGATTACAGCCTTAAGCCTAAAAGTATGCTCTTCATAAGAAAACATACTATCTTATTTCCATCCGCCACCATCATTCACAATGGATATGTAAATTGGTTTTAACGTATTCTAAATTCAAACATAACCACTTACTTAAACTAATATTTGTCTCCTGGTGGCTTGGCAGAAGGAAGGCATCATCATGACAAATGCTCCCCAAAGAATCTAAATTTCAAAGGAAAAAAGGAAGCGAAAAGAAAATTCTAAATACTCCCCTTCCCCACCAATACTTTGCCAGTGCTTGTCAATTTCATTTGCAGTTCTCGTTGGAGTTCGTGTAATATGAAACCCCGAAGCCTGTAGACGTATGTGGTGGCAAAAAATTACATTTGCACATTTCAGTGTGCTTTTTTATTGTCCTTAGTTGGGAATTTCTTGGAAGAGGAAGTGTTGTGGGTGAAGGTGTGTGTGGGTGTGTGTGGTTCGTTGGATCAGATCTAAATCTAAAACATTACACACTTAAATGTACTGTAGTTGAAGTTCGTTGGTTTTTTTTCTCCCCCTCATTTAGTTCTGTTGCGTGCTGGGACCCATCCAGTGGCAGGAGATGGCTTTGTATGGCAGTGATTTGCCCTGGAGAGTGCTTAAGGGGAAATTTAACAAATTACCACCTACTTGTGGTTTATTTCATTTCCATTACATCGGCAGAGGCACTTTTGAATTGTGATTCGTTTTTTTTTCTTGATTTGGTTACATTTACATTTCCTCGGTATTTGACATTTTGTGTGAAAAATCCCCTAGTTGTTGTTGCGGTTGTTTTTTTCTGCGCTTAGCCTTATGTTGGCGTTTTTTTTTGGTGTGCCTTTGACTGGCGTATTAGTGGATTTACGTGTAGCCCATCATTTATTCCGTTGATGGGTGTTTTGGCATTAAATATGCACCCCATTTTATGGCTGATGTTTACCTGTGGGGGAGGTGGCGTGAGGCGTAGTAGTATCCGCTTAAAGAAGTGTTAAATGTTAATATTTCACTTCTTTGTCTTTTGAAATTTAAATTTTTTAGGCCAATATAAATGTTATCTTGTTTATTTTGTAACCATTTGAAATGTAGGTGGATGCCTCGGAGATGGATTTGCTTCAGAGAGAATTTAAGGAGGTTTGACTGCTCAGAATTGGAGGAAGATTATCGAAAGATTTGTTTGTTTAAGTAGTTATGGCCATTTTAAAATATGATATTTTTCCTCATTAAATATCTAATCACAAAACATAGACAAAAACCCCGAAATGTCAATATTTAGGGAGTTATGTCCACTTTAAAATATGCTATTTTTCCTTATTAAATATCTCATCACAAAAAATAGCTAAAAACCCCGAAATGTCAATATTAAAGGAGTTATGACCATTTTAAAATATGCTATTTTTCCTCATTAAATATCTCATCACAAAACATAGCTAAAAACCCCGAAATGTCAATATTTAAGGAGTTAAGGCCATTTTAAAATATGCTATTTTTCCTCATTAAATATCTCATCACAAAACATAGCTAAAAACCCCGAAATGTCAATATTAAAGGAGTTATGGCCATTTTAAAATATGCTATTTTTCCTCATTAAATATCTCATCACAAAAAACCCCGAAATGTCAATATTAAAGGAGTTATGGTCATTTTAAAATATGCTATTTTTCCTTATTAAATATCTCATCACAAAACATAGCTAAAAACCCCGAAATGTCAATATTAAAGGAGTTATGGCCATTATAAAATATGCTATTTTTCCTCATTAAATATCTCATCACAAAAAACCCCGAAATGTCAATATTAAAGGAGTTATGGCCATTTTAAAATATGCTATTTTTCCTCATTAAATATCTCATCACAAAACATAGCTAAAAACCCCGAAATGTTAATATTAAAGGAGTTATGGCCATTTTAAAATATGCTATTTTTCCTCATTAAATATCTCATCACAAAACATAGCTAAAAACCCCGAAATGTCAATATTAAAGGAGTTATGGCCATTTTAAAATATGCTATTTTTCCTCATTAAATGTCTCATAACAAAACATAGCTAAATATCCCGAAATGTCAATATTAAAAGAGTTATGGCCATTTTAAAACATGCTATTTTTCCTCATTAAATATCTCATCACAAAACATAGCTAGAAACCCCGAAATGTCAATATTTAAGGAGTTATGGCCATTTTAAAATATCCAATTTTTCCTCATTAAATATCTCATAACAAAACAAAGCTAAAAATCCCGAAATGTCAATATTAAAGGAGTTATGGCCATTTTAAAGTATTCTATTTTTCCTCATTAAATATCTCATCACAAAACATAGCTAAAAACCCCGAAAAGTCAATATTTAAGGACTTATGTCCATTTTAAAATATGCTATTTTTCCTCATTAAAGATCTCATCACAAAACATAGCTAAAAACCCCGAAATGTCAATATTAAAGGAGTTATGGCCATTTTAAAATATGCTATTTTTCCTCATTAAATATCTCATCACAAAACATAGCTAAAAACCCCGAAATGTCAATATTTAAGTAGTTATGGCCATTTTTAAATATGTTATTTTTCCTCATTAAATATCTCATCACAAAACATAGCTAAAAATCCCGAAATGTCAATATTAAAGGAGTTATGGCCATTTTAAAATATGATATTTTTCCTCATTAAATATCTCATCACAAAACATAGCCAAAAACCCCGAAATGTCAATATTAAAGGAGTTATGGCCATTTTAAAATATGATATTTTTCCTCATTAAATATCT